ATGTACGTTAATAAACATTGCATGATCAGTACTAAAAGATATTTTATTTACTCAATCAGGTCAAGCCCTAACAACCTATTTTTGCACACTTTTTGATACTCTTCCCCTATAAATCCGAAGGAATTCCGAAAAAAAATCAAACATTGATTCATATTTCGTTTCTAGTTTGGAGATAGTTGGGTAGTCTTGATGATTGACGGTAGCAAACACAATAGGTGGCGGATAGCAGTGATGCAGATTTCACTTTTTTTTCAAAAACTGCCATAATTTTATTGAAGGGTGATTTGATTAAAAAAAATTAAGCAAATAAGTCTGTCTACAATTGTAGATCGAAAAACATCGGATWATAATTTTTTGTGTGAAGTTAGAAGCTCTCGCACTTTTTGATGAAACGTTTAAGATACTAAAATCCTGAAATTAAAACAAAAATATCCAAATCCTTATATTTCAAAACGTAACGTGAGCTTACATTCGCTACTACCGGAATYGCTGATCTGGTGGATTACATTTCTCATTTTCATATCCACTTGATTTTCTAACTCCGTTTTATAAAATTCATTTATTAGATATAAACAAATGCGCTGCMAAAGATAAATTATCAGCATTCCTTGCTCAGTTCAATATCTATTTTTACAGTAGAGCAGGTTCAAATAATGAACCAGTGGTTTATATAACCGAAACACATMTATATTCTGACTTGTCTGTCACCAAAAATTGATCAAAGTGCTGTTGAGATTTATATCATATGAAATTCTTCAATAACTAACGACAATTGCTCTATTTCATTATGACGTCACAGTTTACMTCGGGGAAAGAAAATATGAAGGACTGCTCATACACATTTTATTGGTGTTAAAATAATAGAGCTTTTGAGAAAATCATGAAAAATCTAAAAGAGAGCTGTTGTACTGTGTGTGATGTTGTTGTTGTTGTTGTTGATGTGTGTGTTTTTTTCTTTACTTCTTTGTATTAGTTCTTAATAAAAAAGTGAAAAATGAAATTGAATAATGTCTCATTTAAATGCATGGGACCACATGGGATTTTTGTTCATCAGGAATAAAATTTGAACAAAAATTTGCGATAAGGGACTAAAAATTGGTCAAAAAACAGGRTCACGAGTGAAAAAAAAATCTCATGTTAAGACCCTGAAATGAGATTAGTTATTGTATCAAACTGAATACCCATTCAAAGCTGCAAATCACATTATTTTTATGAYTTATTGTCCATCAGCCTAACTATATTTCAGCTTTGAGTTTTGTTATTTCCAAGTGGTCTTATGAATAATTTGACGGTCTTTGTTGTGTCGGCACAAGCAATACTCGTCATAAGCTCATTTTTTTATATKCCATATCCATTTGTAGAATTTATTTATTGTTGTTGCTACTTTTGTTTTTATTAGACATTATTATATTCAATTAACGTATTGTCAAACAGAATTATCAGTGACGTTTATAAAAGACTGAAAATTAGGAAAAAGCGTATTATATTATCAAAAAAAAGCCTTATGTTGCTTGTAAACACGCAGGTTTGACGTAAATATTGGAGCCTTGATTTGATAAGAGATTAGGCTATCTTTGATTTGAAAACAAAGTCTTAAACCGAGTATTATAAACGCTTGATGAATTGAACAGTTCATAAAGAATCTGATTATTATATTGTTACGTTTTCGTCAAAGTCTTTCTATAAAAGGGAMGTTTTTAACCAAAKGAAGTTCAAGTTCAATAAAAATACAGCTKATATATTTCTTGCTTTTGCTTTTACATTAAAATCTCAAGATTTTAATCGCTTCAGATGGTATAAGTTATGATGTTATATTTTAATTATTGAATGTTGTTAATTTGCTCAATCTCATACGCTAAATCAAAGTAAAGAAAATAAAGAATTGAAGAGGTTTATGAATGGTGGACGCCATTGAGATAGCTTTGGTAAATGTSAAAGATATTTAATTGTACGTGCCGTTTTTCACTTCAAGTGAAGCAATATYGAAAGAAAGTATTGTATAGATGACTTACACAATGCCAATGACGCACGRCCGGTTGGCATATCAAATGAGCAGCATAAAAAATACTACAGCGCAGAAGATTCTAACTTCTGATTAGAAAATTAAGGCTCTACAACAAATTTAAGAAACTTTGATATAGAATTAAGTGGAAAACATACTATTTCTGTCGCTGCTTAAAGTAGWATTCTACTTCTTATATTTTCTTTTGCTTTTTCTTGTTTATTCCACAATATTTAGCGCTGTTATCTATAGTAACATTTGGTTAGTACCTTCTATCGCTTTTTAATTTTTGAACAGTAGTGTTTGCTCTCTATGTAAAAAGTATAGAAATCAAAGTTAACACGAGTATGCAAAAGCGACATCATTTGGAAAGTTAACAGTAATTTTACACGCGTTTWCAGGGCCATGAAAGGCATCTAATGTATGGGTACTAATGTATCTAGTATCAACAAATTTACTGTATTTTTAGGAATTCTACTTTTCGCAAAGTGAGAAGTAGACTATTTTTATTGTGGTAAATCATTCATCATGAATCATTCATTTAAAGTCAAAACATCACCAACTTTCTTTCCATATAATCTCCAGATCGCTCTAAAATAAATAGGTTTTTTTTATTTATTTATTTATTTATTTATTTATTTATTTATTTATTTATTTATTTATTTATTTATTTATTTATTTTTTATTCACACAAGAAGGAAATCACACAAGGAAACAAGAACAACGCAAAAAACTTGTCTTGCTCAATGGGACAATTATATATACACAGCAGTCATTACAAAACAGAATGATCTAGATTTGTGCTTTTCTTCGTGATCATATGGCAGCCATTTTGCAACTTAGACGGCAATAATTCGGTGGGAGTAAATGACAAAAAGTTTTTTTTTTCAGTAAACCCGCGAGATAATTACAAGATTAACTTACTATATTAAATTACACTTCCTTATCGTAAGATATCCCATAAAGCACTTCGATCTCGACTTCAATATAAAGTTTTTAGTGTGACAACGTTTCTTCAAATTCCTGTATTAATGCTCACGCATGCGCGGTCCAGTGTATGCCTGATGCTGTGTTACMGMARAGACTGTTTTAGAAAATATGACGCGGGCTGTATTTCAGTGGATTTATCAAAGTGTTTCCTTTGTCTACTGTCTTTTAATTATATGTTTAGTCATTGTGGAGATCCGGCACCATCGAGTCTATGCGTGGTGAATTTCCCTCTGGTCTGTAGTGTGGCAATGATTATGCCTAGTGATGGCGAAGTTCATATATTTTCCGGTAATTCAACGATTTTAAATAGGATATYTCAACGATAGCCGAAGGCAGTTCAGTTGAGTTGCCTCGAAAAACTTGACTTCGACGCAAATCCAGGCTAATACAGTCAATGTGACAAACCCCGCTGTCTTTGCCGCTAAGGAAGAATARTGAAATTGTRATTTAKCAACCTCGGCTGTGCAATGAAGTTCGCATCTCTTTAATGCTGTAATCTAACAAGACGATTGCCTATAGCGATATGCGTATATGACAACTCCTCAGATGGTGAGAATAATGATTCAGATATAACAAAGATTATTTAATGGCTCGGAAGCTTTTACGGCATTCATACGTAATTGGCACAAGCTTTTAATTGACAAAGCTCTCGATTAGAACCTCCTGTACAAGCTTTGTGACAGTAGAGTAAGGAACAAAGACTAAAGTCCAAGTCCTATAGACTCCAAATGCTGGCCTTTTAGCAACACGCAAGCGCCCCAAGCCATCGTTGAGGGAGGTTAAGTCCCGTGTTGTTTTCCAAATCAAGAGACTCTCGAATGGAAAGCACTGACAATAGCTGATGCGCTTTTAAGAGAGAAGACAATTTCTTCGAGATAAAGCAAGATTAGTTCATTTTCAGTGMCACAGAAGACTTAAAACGACGAATTAGATACCCAGACAACCAAGTCAAAGGTTTGCGTTTGAAATCCAAAACTACAAATAATGAACTCAAGTAACGAAAGCTTGCCAGTATTGAGTGACATGGCATTCACTTTCCGTGTGATGCGTTGGACTCTTTATCCTTTAGTCATGTTTTCAGGGATTTTAGGAAATATTGTTGTTGCTCTTGTAATTACCTTGAATAGACCAAGAGACTTAAAGCCGTCAGTTCGGTACTTCATTCTTAACTTGGCGATATCAGACCTGATCGTTCTTGTGATGTTTATACCTTTTGACTTAGCTTACTTGGAGATGTCGATCTGGGTGTTTGGTGAAGCAATGTGTAAAATCGTGAATACCTTGAATTATGCATTTGTGACTGTGTCTGGTACTACGCTTGCTGCAATCAGCCTCGATAGACACCGCTCAATCGTGTATCCTATCAAGAAACCTTTGAGTACCAGGTACGTTGAGTGTGTTTCTTAGAACGTGGGAGGAGGGGGTGGGGTGGTTTGGGGTTAATGGATTAGTCGGCAAGCTCCTAGAAAAAAAWTAAGGCTTTATGCACATTGAGACTCTTCGTAAACGGTTAAAGCTTAAGCGGGTTTCCTGTCTGTCGTGCGTGCRGTTAGAAAGCTATCTTAAGTACTAAGACTAGCCAGAAATAGTATTTAAGCAGGGTGATGGGTGAGAATTTTCGTTAAATAGACACTATATATAAAATCAAACGACCGCACAAATATTATGATCAAAGACTTGATCATTTTAAAATTAAATTTGTCATAAATCATAAACCCTGATTCGCTTTTCCACTCAACAGAAATTCCTTACTTACAACGGGAATGAACTAAAAACGAAAAACCCACTTTAATATGTGATACAATATTGGATGATCGATGATTTAARATAAGGAAGTGAACTTGAGGTTTGAGTTATATAAGCACTTTGTAAATCAAAAATGATGTGGTGTCAAGTTTAGAGCTAGCAGGTGAATCCATCTTGTCAACGCAATTGAGATGGTCATGATCTGAGCAATAGCAGACGAGTAATTTGTATTGAGTTCAGCACATGTGAGATTCGACACTATAAAATACAATGTTCTCTAAGTTTTGCAAGACAAGTAGGCCATATCGGTAAATATAATTAGTATAAATTGAAGAAAAAGCCACACGACTTGTAACATAGGTACTACTCTTTATTGGACRTTTCGGGCATTCGGTAAATATATATAGGTTAATAGTGTAAAGTTTTGTTGATTATAAAAGGTGTAGTCACTAAAATCATGACCAGAAATTATAGTGACTCGCTAAATCCGTGAAACAAAATTTACTGTGTAATGGTTGAATAGACACAAATGAGTGTATACAAAGCACTTGTGTAATAACTATTTCACGGGTTTTTTTACTTTACTCTCAGCGAATTGCATTAAATCCGCTATATTAAGCACAATTTTTCAAGATTTTTACGTTGTTTTAGGTTTTAGTGTTTGCACTCTACAGAGCCTTGCAAACTATGAAAGGGCCTTAACAAAATAGCGCTAAATGAAGCCATAATGAGCATTATCAACAAGGAGTTTGGGTAATTCAGCACAATGTGGCACGATCCAATCAGTAAGGCTTCTCGTTGTCCCGGTGTTTGCCCTTGATTTTCGAAAAAGCAGAACAAACAGTCATTATCTTATTAGAGATTTTGTACATCAAATTATTCCCCAACGTCACTTCCATTTCCATTTTTAATTTCAAAAGTTCTTAGAAATCGGAAAATCAACATCATYATTTACAAACATTGCAGCTTCTAATATTCCGACATTTAAAAAATTCATTTAATAAAGCTCCCTCCCATGGCGATCGATAAGGAAGTAAAGATTTGGTAC